GTTCGAGTTAAGGGATCACTTCGATGTCACCGAACTCCTGGTTCCGCTACTGTTTCAGGTGTGTGTGTTGTCCGCCACACCATTGACACCGCATTCACTCACTCACTACTAACTGATCCCATCTCTTAGGATAAGCTGACAGTAGTGGACGACTACATCCGCGGCCACGAGAAGACACACGGCTTCGAGTTCGTAAAGTTTTTGGACAAATGTATTGTCGACCGGAGTATCGGTGACGCGATTGGCCAACAGATACCCCACGCCCGCAGAGACAAAATGGACCCCAAAATGCTGACCAAATTGGTCGCTCGACTACTAAAGCAGCACCGGATCGATGAGAGCGCCTGTCCTAACATTGTCTCACAACGCAATGGCAAACAACTCAAGTATCTGCTCTACAAGAGGTTCATCGAAGTCTGTCACCAAAAGAAGCCATTGTTTCGAGTGTTTTACTAATGAGTGGTAAATGTGTGGTGTTTTAGGGCGGCTTTTCCGATGGCTCGTGGCGTGAGATCATTATCAACACAGTGGCCGACAATAAAGAGCTTCAGGAAGAGTTGATTTATCAGGTCGTGTCGTACGGTGATTACAACGACGCCTTCAAATGGGCCCAACATTTCGATATACCGGTCGACCGGCGGCCGCACTGTATACTGAATATGACTGAAAGCGCGGCACCGGTGCCAACGTAAACACAGTTTTGTTCTGCATTTCCAAAGTGTTGTAACCATTGATTGGATTTTATAGCGATTCGTGGGACGGTTGGGGCGATGAGGACTTGACCGACAATTACCACTCTTTGAAGCTCTCATTACTTGATTCAGTCGTTTGGGTGAACAATGATCTCAAATTCGGGTCTTTCATTAAACACATAACTGAAGTAATGCTAAATCGATGTAAAGTGTATTTGTGTGTTAATTATCTATTGTTTTCTCTGAAGGGCTATCAAATCATTGGAATCGATGGCGAGTGGCCACCATCTCTGGGATCAAACGCTCAGAAGTTATCGATACTACAGATCGCGTCGTGTGATTCGTGTCATATAATTGATATCTTAAACTTAAATCAATCACAAATGGGGACGATATTCACGGAACAAATACTCAACTCGAAGTCAATAATAAAACTCGGTTTTGGTATTCATAACGACTTGTCTCTAATCAAGGAGTCGTTTAATATGAGCACAAACTTTAGGCCACAGAATGTGTTGGATTTGTCCAAATTCATGGAATATATATTGAGTGAATTCACGGATCTTATCGCCGACACAGTCATAGCTGAGGCCCGAAGAAACGACTTGAAAGGGTTGTCCAAAACTGTGTTCATACTGTTGGGCAAAGCGCTCAACAAATCGGAACAGTTTTCCGATTGGAATCGGCGGCCATTACGCGAAGATCAGGTGAAATACGCGGCTTTGGATG